CGAAGGGAGGGGGGAGGGGGGGGGAGAGCGAGGAGGGGAATCGGTAGAAAAATAAATAATTGCCGGAAAGAATTTATTGGTCTAAGCTCCGCGCCGCCGGCCTGGAAAACGTTTGCTCGCCGCGCCGCTACTTTTTAATTATCTCGTTAACTCGCGGGAGTGACGTTGACAGCGCGGCGGAGAAATAATGCGATTCGTAGGTAGGTTATACGAGCGATGTGTATCTGTGTAATAACTGCGCGGCGCGGATGGATATCGATCGATTAACTCGAAATAACGCAGTTCATAGACACGTCAGATGCAACGAGGAAACAAAAAGAGAGAGAGACAGAGAGAGAGAGAGCGTTATATTCTTCGCGATTGATCATTGTAGATAGATACAAATAGATTAATCTGTCTCTATAATTGAACTCGCCGCGAGTCCATGCAAGAGGATGGAGAGCAAAGTTATACGTCGGGGTAACTACGATGAAAGTGTATAAAAAGAAATGTGAAAGGACGAACGCGAGAGAGAATATATCATGGCGAAGCGAAAAGCAAACGGCACGGTTATAATAATCAGCCTTGCGACCTTCGTGTTGCAGTATAATCGCATTATTTGGGCTTAAAATTTCGAAGAAATTTACGACTACAGTTAGAAATACTGTACGGGACATTCAAGTAGATTAGGGACCGGTATTGCGGACAACTGTGAAAACATGCTCGCCTATTTACAGTAACCTTAACATGACAACGAATAGGCACGAAGAAGGTCATTTATATAGAGATCTATTTCAAGTGGAAAAAAAATTTTTAGGGATGTTCGATCACTATAGTGTTATATGTAAATCCATTCATCTATTCACTCGAGTCCAAGCCGAGTCTCGTCATATCTCCGTGCGTGCCGACGTGTAATCTTTAATGGCGTTTACGTATACGGACTTTATTCTTCCGTTCCGTACATATAGATAACGCAAATTACGCAAAATGCGAGACTTGTATCTTATCGATGTGGAGTGTCCTTCCACTAGTCGCGCTTCTTTCGACGAATACCTTCGGCCAATTTCGAGTCGAGTCTATAGTTGTTGTAATTCTAAGTAATTTTAGGTAATCTCTATATAATTGTAAGTTGGCCATCGTTTCGCCTCGCAACTATCCATGCAGTTTTCAATATTATATATTCTCGTAATTGCTATCAATCGTTTTTTTTTTTTCAACTAAAATAAATTAAAATTCTTTCAAAGTGAAGGAAAAATGTGAATTGGCGAGGTATTTTTTATTTGTTTCGCAAGACTCTGTATTCTGAATTGATTCTGAATCCCGAATTGCTTATATACGATTTAGAAAATTGCCTACGGCATTTCCGTTGAAGAATTCAATCGACTCAAAAGCGCCCAAAGAATCCGCGAAGTAAATGCGAGGAGGAAACTACCTGCCGTATATTCGAATATAAATAATCTCCATGGATTGATCCCTGCTTCCGTTCTCGAAAGCGACGGGAGAAAAATCAGACTCGCATTGAACAACTGAAGGGTTCGGCGCAAAAATCGGGCAAAACTCCATTTTTTTTAAACTTACTACAGTTATACCAACACACAAAAAAGCTGTTTTGCTAAATACACTATGCGAAGTGTTTTACGAAAACCGTTAAAATATGTAAAGATTACTTTGTCCGGAGCTGTTTCTCATGCTAAAAAAAAACAAAAGTGGAAGTATTTAGTACGTTAAATTTACTCGAGAAATCATTTTCGCTAAAAAATAAAAGAAAATGAAGTTGATCGAGTTCTCGCGATCGAGCCCTTCAATTAAAAGCGCTCGCGGCACTTCCGAGGGAAGCGGAGCCCAGATTCTCCGCGTCTCACCCAACATCTCACCCTCCCGGCGGTGGGTAAAACAAAGCGAAGGACAAGAGGAGAGTGTCTCCCCGGTCTATATACGTACCGGGTGTCGAGCCGCGGCCGCCACGGCCGCCGCCGCCGCCGCGTTCATGCTGGCGCCGGGATACATGGCTGTTATCCGAAGTTTTCTTTTCCTTTTTTTTTTCTTCCTTTTACGTCACACGTCACTACCGCGCCTCGTGAACAGCGAGACACTCACCGTCGCACATCACAGCTACGAAGCGTGCGTAAACAGGGAGCCGATCGAGGCAAAGGGGGGTGTGAGAGCGGTAGGGTGATAACACACACAGGGTGATCAATTCACACTCGCGAGATCATGTCCCGCGGCTGTACGCGGCGTGACGCCGGAATTCACGAGTCGCGCGCGGACTGCGTGGTGCACTTAATACACGTGGAGCATCCGCGAGTATCGCGCATGAGTATGACGGTGTTTCTGCACGCGCTCCGTACACAGGCGGGGAATCGCGAGAGAGAGAGAGAGCAAATGCGCGGCCGACGGCCTTAAAATCACACGGGAAACGGGCGACGCGATGCGCATTCGCCAAAGCGCGTGTGTTAACTGAACGAGAGCGGGCCGACGTCGCCGACGTCGCCGCGAAGAAGCGTTCGGCCTGCCACCTTCCGGGCGCTAGGTGTCGCCCGGATACGCGGCCCTCCACGTGCTCCGTGCGAAGGGAGATATTTCCGTTTTCGGGAACGGAGCAGCGAGTAGAAGTACTACTCCGGGATCTCGGCCGTGTTCCCGGGATCTCCGTGAACGAGACCCCCCCCCCTCCTTCACCCCCGTGGCGAGAAAAGTCAGGGTCGAAGGGATCCCGCGCGGATCCCTTTTCATGGTGATTTCCAAGCCCGGGCGATCAATCGCTTTGGCTCTGAGGCCGAGCGTGTGAGACGGAGAAAAACACGCCTGGGGATTTGATCAATGAAGATACAAGAATCCAAATGATAATTTATCGACGCGCCCGTGAACGAGACGTTCGAGGGGCTCGTAGCGGAATTAATGGCTTCGGAGTCTATCGTGTAAAATAAATAAAATTCGGGGAGATGTAAGATAATTAAAAGAGAATCTGTATATAAGATAATAAGAAGGAGAGCGCTGTATGATGTGGCGCTGCATTTTGAGAAAATGCAAGAAATTTCTTTGCCGCGAAGGGTAAAAAATGAGATTGTACGGCATGTTACGCACGCATTTCAGGCTACCTGCTGAGAACCTCTTAAACATATTTCCTAATAAAGATTAACGAGGAAGATTTAGATTCTTTGGTAATTTTTGGAAGTTTCTACAAGGAACACAGTGGAGGAAAAAAAAAACAGGAAAATAGACAAAAGGATCCAAAAATGAAAGCAAAGAATTTTAAGAGCGACAGACGTCCTTCTGTGAAGTCGAATTGAAAAGGCGTCCTGAAATTGTGACTTTAAACTGAAAAAAAAAGTAGTCATACGTCACATCTCAGTAAATAGACATATTAAGGGAACCTTTTGCAATTAGAAGAATCAATGTAACGGAAGAGACCAATGGAGACGGTCTACAATAAGGCGGACAAATACATATATATACAGTTACAAAAGAATAACCGTCTTTGTTGGCGAACTGCGTCGAATCTGCGTGAAATGCTTCGCCTCGCCGAGAGTGACTTTCTATAAAGAAGTAATACATCCGACAATTTGTTTTGCTTCTTTACCTTCCTCACTTCTGCATGGACGCTGCGTAGAGGCTCTTTGCTCCCGTTATCACTATACATATTTGTATATATTTGAGGCGACCATTATCGCTCGAGATATAGGTGTATACGCGCGGGGATTACGCTATTTATCGGGTCGCCCTGTCAAAATGCGGTGCGCGCGCTCGGGCAGAAAACGTCGCCGCGTCTGCAGTCTCATTCCTTTTTTTTTTTTTCTTCTTTTTATCTCGCGCGCCTTATCGACATTCCGCTCGGACGGACGGACGGACGGACTTGAGAGTAAGAATGTTACGACTTAAGAAGATAACCGCGCGTATACACGGTGTGCATCAGCTAAGTGGCGCGATAATGCCACCGCGTCTCGTTTACTCTCTCCCGGGAACGCGCATTCAGATCTCGCCTCTTCCTTCACCTCCCCCCCTCCCCCCTTCCTCACCCGCCTTCTCCTCGAAGAGGAAAACTCGCCGAGCGTCTTTATCGTTGGCAGCGTTATCGCGCGCTGCACAAAAAAAAAATCACAATATTTTCTATAACCGGGCCACCCGATCGAACGGCGCCGTTTTCGATACACGCGGCGTTCTCGAAGCGCACATTTCGATCTTTTACTTAGCGGGGATTATTTTCGTGAGTGCAAGAGAGCGCCTCGTTTATCGGGCTTATCGAGCTTTTCTTCTTGTTTTTTTTTTATCGGTCACTCTTAGCCTTCGAGCTTTCGTAACACTAATTATCGGCGTACTGAACAGCGCGATACTTTTCCGTCGCGCGGACAGCTATTATCGGTATCGGCTGCCGACTGAAAAAACTCATCGTTTGCAAAAAAAAAAAAAAACTCGAGTTTGCCACGTATTGTACGCGATAATAGAAGGAAGAGAGATTTCTAAGACACATATAAGCTATAGATAAATTAAAGAAGAATCTAATTTCCCCTTCGAAAAATTTGTCCAATGGTGAATCCAGATAAAGTCAAGTATATTTTACAGTGCGGTAGTTAATAAAAGAAAAAAACATTTAAAGGGCGCGCGAATTCGGTGATGACAATGCGCTTGTATACCTATTCTCCGTTTTTTTTTTTTTTTTGGATTCGCGCGATTCGTTCTGGAAAAATATTCCGAGCCGAAGGACCTTCGTTCGTCGCGCCGCTCCGCTCCGCTCGTCGGCGAACCGGATATTCGCATTCGAGCGCGCATTCGAGCGGTCGGTTGACTCGTTCGAAAAACGTGTTAATTGGCATTATTCCGAGCGGTTGCCAACGGCTGCCAATTGGCTCGGCCGTAAATCGGCGCAGGATACTGCAGCATGCAGGACTGCCGACGTGCGCGCGTGCGTGCGAACGCGAAGCGACGACGACTCCGACAATGATGACGACGACGACGAATTCCGAATTTGGTCGTTCTCTATATATATATATATATATATATATGCGAAGACACTTCCCGTTCCCGGAATCATTCTTTCCTCCGGGACCGCACGAACGAGCTTTCGACGATCGATCGCGAACCTTCTCTCCTTTCGTCACGCTCAAAATCCCTGCACCTTCGTTCGAGTCTGTCGCTTCTATAAATGCACGCGCGAAAATCTCTCGCTATAAACGCACGTCCCTGCACGAACTGCAGCGAATTTTTCAGGCAATTCCGAGTCGATCTTTTTCCTTTCGGCAAAAATGTACAGCCGATTCGAATCGAACGCCAAAGCGTTCGACAGAAAAAATGATGAGGATCCGGATGTGAGATATTATGAAATGATGGAAGTTTCCGTGTAAAAAAAAATGTAAGCAGAATGGCAGACAGAAGGAAAGCAGAAAGAGATTGAGTGTGTGAGAGAGAGGGGAAGAGAAGAGAGAGTGTGCGAAGAAATCGCGTTATATGCCGTGTAGGTGCGACGCGGAAAAAGCTCTCCAGCTTCCTCCCCTTCTCTCTCTCTCTCTCTCTCTCTCGCGCGCGCTTCGTCGACTCAACGACAGGCAGCTCCGCAACTGCAAAAAAGCTCTCGGAAAACTCCGTCGCGGAACCGTTTCTCTCTCCACACGTGATTACGTGTACAGTACACTATCGACATTCGCGCGCGCGCGCCTGTATGCGCGGCGAAAAAAAAGGGTTTCGCGCGAGCATTTTCTCGCGTTTCGCGCGAAGCGAAGCGGAAGACGGAGAGAGAGAGAGAGAGAGAGGAGAGAGATCGGAAGAACGTGCGAGGGGGTAGATAAAGAGAAAGACGATTCGTTATTAACGCCGGGACGCCGTTACACGCGAAAAAAAAGTATGTGACTTATTTCGCACCCTCCTCTCCCCTTCACTCCTCGCCCCTCCCCGCCTTCCCGTTAATATTCGCCTCGGTGCAGGAGAAGTATCGGTACGCGCGAGAGAGACACGGCCTGTTACTTTTCATCTGTCAAATCCATTGGAGCGACGGGCTGCGGAAAGAGCCCCCGGTGTAGAGAGATCGAAGTCGGAGCCGGGGTACGAGAGCGAAACGATAAGGTGGTCGTCGTCGTAGTTGTGGAATGGAGGGTCGCGCGAGAAAGAGGAAGAGAGAGAGAGAGAGAGAGAGAGAGAGAGAAACAGAGAAAGAGCAGGAGGAGTAGCTCGGTGGTACGCGGCGCGAAATGCTCTTCGCTGATTTCCTTTTCTAAATATGGCCGCCTTCGTGTACGTTTTCACTCACTCTCTCTCTCCTTCCTTTTCGTGTAGCGACGCGACGCCGCGCGCCGTAGTAACCGGCCCTGCTTGCCCGAGGTTCTACTTGATTGCCAAGGCGTCTTAACCTCGGCCTCGTAGCAGCGGCGCGGCGGCGACGACGACGACGACGATGACGACGACGACGACGGCGGCGGCAGCACCGGCAACAGCAGCCAAGCACCAGCGGCACCGGCGCGGCTCGGCTCCGCTCCGCGCGGACTGTGTGGACGACGACTCGAGACGCGGCCTATAAGAATCGCGCGCGGCGCGACGTGGCCAACCTGGGCGCATAAAAATGCTCGGCGACGCCCCGTATTGAATAAAGAGGCGTCGTCGCGCCACGAAAAAGGCCAATCCGGCCGAAAGAACGGTGGCTCGCCGACCAATCGCGCGCGGCCCCCGCGGCCGCGACCCGACAGCCGGTTGTCGAGTCCGCGCGGACATCGTATACTCTCTACCTGCCTTTATTATGCCTTTCTACGCGCTCTTCCCCCGCGAGCCTTTCGGCCGCGGCGCGGTGTGTACGCGCGTGTACGTACGTGTGGACGTGGGGTATACGCGCGGGTACGTGGTGTAAGCGCGGTATACGCGGTCGAGGATATACCCCGGCGGCGAATGACGAGGGGCGGGAGGGAGGGGGGGGGGGAAGAAGAAGGAGAGGCAGAAGGGAGCTGTATTCCCGTTGGTCTCTTCTACTCCGAAGCGCGGAAAGGGAGCCGCGACGGGGAACGTCGTCGTCGTCGTCGTCGTCGTCATCGTCTTCGTCGCCTTGTAGCGCGAGCGCGAAAAAACGCCCCTCCCTCCGAAGAAATCGAGGAACGTCGGCCGTGTTCCTCATCCGCGACCAATTAATACGGACGCCCTCAGCCTTCCGAATGGTTTCTCGAAATTGTATAGCTCGACGACGTCCTCGTACATGCTCGAGCCAGCCCGCAGCCGCGCGGCGACGAATTCGCCGGAACAGCATTCGGTCGAGCGTGTAACGATCCGCCGCCGCCGCCCCTTCCCTCTTGTCCCGCGCAAGAAAGAGATATTACACGGCGTTTACGTTGTAATTCGTAATTCGCGGTAGAATCGCGAGCCTGGTGTGCGCTCGGCTCGATCGCGGCGGCGAGAGGGATAGCCCTCTTGTGTGTCGTCGCGAATAAGAGTCTCTCGCCTCGCCGGCTCGCTATCTCGGCCCGATCGCGATGTAATGCCCCGCCAGGTGATTAAAGAACTCCCCCCCCCTCCCCCCTCCCGCTTTACCTTAACGCACACGTGCACACGGCGCTGATGGAACGGCGCGGAATCTGATCTCATCGATCCGGAGATCCTCGAGCGAGTGACCGCGCGCGATGCGATAACGCCGCGCTTCGGCGTCGCTATATATATATATACATATATATATATAGTCGCCTCTCGCGGAAATTAAATTACATTATATTGTTTTCACCGCCGTCTGCAAACACACTCCACGTTTTATCGATCGGAAGTTTTCGTAATCCCGATTTTTCCAGATTGCCGCGCCGGCAAATAGGATTATCGCGAATCGAGTGAAATTTGTCCTCGTTAGTCACGGAGATACTCGAAATCGGATTTATCGGACGGCCGTCCCCGATTTCGCTCTCGAATACGAACGGAATTCGGATAATGTCGCCCTTGAAGCGGCGACGGCGACGACGACGACGACGATGACGAAGACGACGAAGACGATGACGACCATGACGACGATGGCGTATTAAAAATTATACGAGCTTATATCCCCTTTCTAATTCGTCACGGGTCACGATTTCGATCTCGATAATGGCCCTCCCACGCCTCGCGCGATTATGAAAATTTAATCGACGGTATCGGGTTCGCGGAGGTGAACCGAACGTAAAGCGATCCGATTTCTCGGGCGGGCACGATGGCCAGTCACGCGTGTAATTCCCGGCGCTCTTACGTATTACAGATGTTACGATGACGGCGGCGGTATCTGTGTTCCATCTCTCTGTAATTGCGCTTCGATTATTCGTCAAATTAACGAGAAATTGGAGAAAAAGATAAGGAGCAAATAATATAAAATTAACGATTAAACGAGATAATGCGACTCATTAATCTCTAATTTACATTACAATTTCCATAAATATTCTAATATCGCGGATAATTATTTGCCACACTTACTCCATGCTGTTTACCCACCCGAAAGGGCCGTTCCACGTTAATCTCTCAGGCATTAAGCCGCACTTACACTTTTGTCTTGCTATCGCCGCGACACAACTCGTAACTTTAACGATCCCCCGGTGGTCCTGTGAATTAAATTATTCAAGCGGGATTACCCGATGCGGTCGATGATCCTATCAACACTAGGAATCGAAGGTGCAAGATCGATGCGGAAAGACAAAGGAAAAGGAATACACAACTTTATTGGTTTTTTTTTCTTTTTTTTCACCGTACACAACTCTCTCTCTTGTTTGGTTATTAGAACGATTAAACATACTTCACATATAGCACGTTATCATAATCATAAATCGTATGCGATCAATTTACCTGTTGTTCTCGTCGTGTGTGACTCGCACATAGAATATGCGTCGTAAAAAGACCCCGAAAACGTCCTCGAGTGATCGAATCTTGAAAGAAATCAATTAATGTTATCTGCATGAGACGCGATAAAACTTTCTCCAAAACTTACAACGCCACCGCTTACAAAATGTAATATTTATCGTACGCGTGTTGTGACCTAACCTAACCACGAAAGGAAAGACGTACCAAAATTCGATCTATACTTTTCCTACGATTGTCCCAAAGTCACTACAATTTGGAACAGCTTATTCAATAGAGAAAGAGAAACTAGAAGGAAAATATTTTACGCAAACGAAGAAGACAATCACAGCAAGTGCGTATGTGTAAAAATCATAAATGGGTGCGCAGTTAACAATTTTTACATGCATATGTATATATACAGGGTATATTCGTGTCCCTTCAGAGGAAATTGGAGTTTTTCGCAAAACTCGTAATTTAATTTTCTTTTAAAAAACTGTCAATTTTCGCAAAACTTGACACTCGATGAAAAATTCGATTTAAGGGAGATCCTAAATGTCTCACTTAAAGTTGTGAACTTAATCCGAAGAATAGTTCTGTCAAAGTGTGATTCTATTTGAAGCAGATATTGATATGAGCATATGGATAACATGTAGATACATCTGCACCGTGCCGATCAGCCAGTTAGAAATATACAGAAATATAGGGTATAATTAAAATAACGGACTTCGGGGCGAGCTTTCCACACAAAACACAATGAGAAAAAGTTTGTGTGAATATATGCCCGCAAGTCCACCATTACTATTGAGGTACAGCTAATAGCCGGAGATGCAATGTTTATTAATGGAAAATGAAAAAGTAATATTTAACATTATTTAACATTATTAATTTTTTTATTTTTAATTACAATAATTGTTCAGAAACTGAAAATAAATAATACTAAATATAATAAACATCACTTTTTTACTTTCCATTAATATTTTCAGCTGAATTTCAGTAACGGTACGGACGTATGTTCATACAAACTTTTTTTCATGTGTATTTTGATGTGGGATTCGCCTCCCCTCCCCCCTTTCCATAAATTTACTATCTTATTTTAATTATACCCTATATTTGTTCTTTCCCTCTCAATTAAGAGAAAAAGAAAAAAATATATTTCCTTTTCATTACGGAATTGTCCACGTGAGACCGAATGGCTACTTGTGCATCGATTCTCAGGACAATAGTCTTCTTCTATTCCTCAATTCTACCTAACGTATTTCTTTTAAGCTGTTAGCACAAATCAGATGTTACGTGCCTGCCGCTGGCTATTATTTCGGCGGGCGCTCCTGATCCGCGAAATATTTGGTCGCGTTCGGGAAGCGCAGCGGGTCCGGAAAGTCCGGCGTGCCGTACCGGCACGGATTTAAGCAGTCCCTGATCGCCTGGCCGAACGCGCGACGCACAGCGGGATCCGCCGCGACAGCCACGGCGGCGCCCTCGACCTCCTCGACACCGGCACGACCGACTCCCTCCCTGACCAGCCGTTCCATCGACGCTGCTATCGTCGAGTGATGATTCGGCGTAGGGCTAACTAGTAACCGCGGTTTCTGCTGTTCGATCAGCTTGCGACGTTTGCTCGGTAGACCGCCCAGGTAGGCGTCGCTGAACGTCGTCACGCCGCTGTTCGGCGTTACGCCCTGCATCTGCAACTGCCTGCGTTGTCTCACACCGTCGCGAGCGATAATTGGCACCCAATCCTAGAAAAATATGTGTAACTTTATTAAGTGTATATATGTACATATGTTGCTCTACAAACGGATATTACATTGAATTATTATCTCTAAATCCAGGCTAAAAAATTTCTACGGAAAATTGTTATTGTAATTTAAGAGAGAATTCTGATCATTTTAGATTAAATATAATAAAAATACAACAAAAACGGATATTATATTGAGTCATCTCTAAACCCACGCTAAGAAATTTCTATGCAAAATTTTTATTATAATTTAAGAAAGAGAGAATCCTAATCATTTTAGATTAAATACGATAAAAATACAACAAAAACGGATATTATATTAAACCATCTTTAAACCCACGCTAAGAAATTTCTATGCAAAATTTTTATTATAATTTAAGAGAGAATCCTAATCATTTTAAATTAAATACAATAAAAAATTCTTCCCCTTTGTAGTCATGTCGACATACCGAAGGTAAAGCTTCGTGGCCAGGGAATGTTTCCGGGATTTCTTCTCGATCCTCAGGTATCGAACTTTCGCGTGCTGGTTGTTGTTGCTGTTGCTGTGGTTGTTGCTGTTCTAGAGTCTCGGTTTCCATCGGCTATACATTTAGAATATTATTACATTACTATATTATTACAATAATAAAAAGTGATAGGACAGAGCTGATTACCTCATCCTCCGGTTGCGCTTGTGTGGACTGGCGGGTCGGAGCCGAGGACACCGACGACGATTGGGACGAGGCGTCCCTGTACACCAAAAGCGGTATGATCTCCGAATCCGGGGGTTGTGGTACGCACAAAAAGTAAGTACGAAGATGGGTGATAAATCCATTCAGTACCCACTGAAGAAGAGCGGGATTGCCACCGTCCAGCAAGTCACGCTAAAAACAAAGCAACCAAATCACCGTTAGTGAGACATGCGTAAATTCCTTCCGGTATTCTCGTATCTCAGAATTAAGAGAATCGAGACTAACCATAAAACGCGTGGCGATCGCCTCCAAACCAGCTTGGCCGCCGCGTAGCGAGTACCGAAGTACTGTACAGATTTGGCCACACATATTAATTAGGATGTTCAGTATGTCCTGTCCGAACCTCGCGTCGTCGATTCCTGTAAATCCAATCACGTGCATTTGACTTGTCGATTTTAAGATGTATACGCACACGTATAAATTAAAATACCAACCGGTGTCGAATAAAATTCTAACTATATCTCTTGCGTGGCGGGAAATCAACGATTCGATGGTCGCGCAAATGTCGACGCGAGACCCACTCCTGCCGTTGGTGTCCTCCTCGGACGCCAGAAGATTCTGAATGTGAGGTCGTAGTTGAGAAACTAAACGCTCGGTCGCTTGCTCCTGAAGGGCATCCGGTGACGAGGCGCTCGAGAATGTGTATTGCAGGAACTCTTGCAACGGTCTTCGAAGACGAGCGATGGGCCCCCATTGACCGAGACGTACTCTAATCAATCCGTCCAGAGACATAGATTGTGCCTATGCGAAATGAGTTTCTCTTAGTCAATCATGAAAGTTCCTATTGATCACGTAAAGCCGGCGTCATACGATGCATGATTTCCTGCATGATGGGCTCGCATGCTGATGTGTCTGCTCTGATGCATGCTGATGTGTCTGCTCTGATGCATGCTAGACATCTTCACGCAGCTTGAGCGAAGTATACTACCTTCCTTGATTTCTGTGTTTGATATGGTGCATTATTTTATGCCTCGATTCCTTGCATGGACCAATCAAAATCATACAAAACATAAGAAGAAAACAGAAGAGTTTAATATGAATCACTGATACCAATGACTGATTTTGATTGATGCACGATATCAAACACAGAAATCAAGGATAGTCATCAAGTAGCATACTTTGCTCAATGCGTGAAGGTGTCTAGCAAGCATCAGAGTAGACACAGCAGTATGCGAGCCCGTCATGCAGAAAATCATGCATCGTGTGACGTCGGCTTAATAATAAATGTAGCACGCAGTGATGAAGTTACCAGCAATACGAAGAGGTCAACGAGGAAGTTCTCCTCTCTGCCGGGTTCGTGCGACGTGAAGAGATCCATAGACAGACCTCCACCCTCGAACAGATCGGCCAATGTAGGAGTATTTCCGATTGAGCTGAATTCACCAAAAGAATTACGCGATTAGTGTTACGTTTTCATAATGAATACATTCTTTCTTCAATCCTTTAATCAATGATTTAACGCACCTATCGCTCAAAAATCCTACGTGTATGTTGTTACCAAGCATCTGCATCACATTCCCGATACTTTGCATCAAATTTGGAGCTGCAACATCATGACCGACGTCAATATCGAAATAAATATTTAAATTCACGTTAATATAAAATATTTTAATTACTGTTAGTATTGATGCTGATGGGCTGCGACTGACCGCCCGCCGACTGGCTCAATATCTGCTGCAATAAATTCACGAAGGGATTATTGGTGGCCGTTTCTGCACTCGTCGCCGACGTCGCGTTCGTGGAAGTGGCACTGGTCGTGGTCGAAGTCGTTGCTAGAAAATATTTTGCGAATTAGCGCGGAAACGCCGGTATTTGCGAAGGAAAATATTCTTATCCTCGTATTATCTTACCGGTTTGACTCGTCTGATTCTGAGCGTCCGCCGTAACTGTCGACGCCGTGCGCGTTGTTTGCGAAGAGGTCGACACGCCGGTCGCGGCGTTGGACGCGGTGCTCGGGGAGCGGTACACGTGGTGCGAGTTGCACGGAAGGTAGGGATCGAAATCGAGGCCCAGCCCGATACTCATGCCGAGGCCCATCGGATGTCCGTGATGATGGAACACGTGCGGTCGCGATGTGCTTCGAGTTTGCGTGGACGTGGTAGGATGAGTACCGGTATTGCTCCTGTATATTTCAGAATTATTTAACACGTTAAATGTCAGTACTTTCGGAAGTGACTTTAGAGTTCAAAACAAGGAAAAATATCATAGGTAAAGGCCGCGTCGCACGACGCATGATTTCCTGCATGATGGGCTTGCATGATGCTGTGTATGCACTGCAACATCTTCACGCATTGAGTGAAGTACGCTACCATCCTTGATTTCTGACATTTCTGTGTTTGATATGGCGCATTATTTTATGCCTCGATTCCTTGCATGCACCAATTAAAATTAGTGATTAGTGGTACCAAGCTCTTTTCTCTTCTGTTTTCTTTTTATATTTATATTTCGTACACGATTTTAATTGGTGCATGCAAGGAATCGAGGCATAAAATAATGCACCATATCAAATACAGAAATGTTAGAAATCAAGGATGGCAGCATACTTCGCTCAATGCGTGAAGGTGTCTAGCATGCATCAGAGCAGACACAGCAGCGTGAAAACCCATCATGCAAGAAATCTTACATCGTGCGACGCGGCCTTAAGATGATTTCATATCATTGCAAAAATATTTGCAATATCGACGATATTTACCGTGCTTGAGTGCTTTGACCAGCATTCGTGCTGCCACTGTCCATCGACGAAGAGACACTTTGTTGCGCGCTTGCAGTAGTAGCGGGTGGATTCCTCGTGCTTATAGTCGTGGTGGTGATACCGCCGTGCACCATGTGTCCGGCAACGGCTTGCATAAAGTTACGCATGAAATACGGCGGCGGTGGCGTGCCGAACGGGAATACGTTTGTCCTGCCTGCAAAATGGAGTACAGATCAAACGGGTGAGCGTTGTTGTCTCTCTCTCTCTTGCTACACGCGCGTTGCGTAATGCATGACGTGACTTACGAGCGTTGTTATTGTTTTCATTGCCCGATGCGCTCTGCTCGTTGCTCGATCCGGCATCTATGTTGCTCTCGGAACTAACTTCCATCAGCACCTCAACATTGTTCGGCAAATTGAATACCGTATCTAGAAAAGTACCTTATACTTTAATACACTGTCTTAGCATTTTTGCGGAATCGTATCGTAATAACGACGAAACGTACCGAAGGGCGATTGGCCCTGCTCTTGCTGCGACCGTTCTGCCTGCGGCTGCGCACTGTCGCTGGACTCTCGCTCTTGATTACTCTCCTCGGTATTAACGCGCGACGAACTTGTCGATCTCGCGCTGTCCGATTGCGCCTGATTACCAGACTCTGTTGCCTCGTCGTTGCTGTTGTTATTGTTAGCGCTACGCCCGTTCAAACTGATATGAGCCTGCGACAAAAAAAGGGAACGTTCAGACAATATCAATGGAGAAATAGATGTCAAGCGAATTTATGTACTTTTAATCGACGTGCTCACCTCTACCTGGATCGGTATACCAGGCTGTAGAATGGCCGAGTGCTGTACTATTATTGGCCTGCATCGCAAGTTTCTAGGTGGCGGTTGACTCATATCAATAATAATATCGCTGAGCGCGTGACAGCTATGTGACATAAGGTGGAGAATCTCACTGACTCCATCCACTACTCTCTGACTCTCCTCCACGGTATTCGGTCCGGGCTAAACAATAATTGGTCACAGCCTTCGGTAAAGCGGAACTTTGTCTCAAATGTGTTCGGGGGCGATCAATGCCGAGATCACTTATTGACTTACCCCGGGCGGTAGCGAAGGATCGAGAAGTGTAAGCATGCAATAACGGTCCAAGTACGGCCGCAGCCGGTCCTGAGTGCTGCACAATCTTTGCAACAATTCTGCCATTTGCGGAGGTCGCGGGAGACTGAAAGACAAACAATCAACAATCACACATACATGTCTGCATCTGCTAATTTAACTCGTATTTAAGATTATTGCAAACTCGTCAAGCGGTATTTAGATTATCGCTAACTCGACATTTTGATTATTGTTAACTCGTCAATCATATAAATTGATACGTACTCCTGCTGTTGAGCTCGTCTGTTTTGACCAGCATTGCTCGACGTAGCTCCCATCTCTGTACCCGCTTGTGTTTGCTGTTGCTGTTGTTGGGATTGTGACTGCGATTGTGAATGCGATCGGGACTGCGATTGAGACTGAGATTGAGACTGCGATTGAGACTGCGACTGAGACTGCGATTGGGACTCCGAATGGGAGTGCGTGTCGCCCTGATGCTCGTTCGCATCGCTCGAGGCTCTCGCATTTCCACTGCTGTAACTGCTTTCGAAATATCGTCGAGTATCTACGTCTTGAAAGAGAGACATCATAAGTTTCGCAACACGCAAAATTATGTGTCAAGAACATTTTGAGAGTAATCGGGCTCGCAAATGTACAAACCTCTGGCCAATGCAACTGCGCGTGCTCCAGCAGCTGACAACGCGGCCGTGATGGCGACTGCAGCTGCCTCGGCAAGCCTAGCACCATCGTCTCTGGAAACGTCGTTGTTCCTGGAGTATTACAAAAGCATTGTGTCACGCGAGAAAACCTATGACCTAAATGTCTTTCCAACTCACTCGTGTTCAATTTCTGATTCCTGCGATTGCTGCTGCTGCTGCTGCTGTTGCTGCTGCGCCGTTGACTGGTTGAGCTCCGGAGGCGGATGCAGAGGGGGAGCGCTGGGATCGTCCAGCCGATCGATCAACTCGTTGATACGATCGAGCATTCGACCGGCATGATTTAGTCTACTACCGGATAGACTGTTGCTCAACTGCGGTATGCCTGAGGGAAACGGTCGTAACGCGACGTGTCAAGAAGGAGGGAATGCAAGCAGAAAAAAAAAGGTAAATCAAAGTACTACCATGGCCTTCAACGATCTCCGCAGGCACGGACATGGCGCCTAGGTACATTGCGTTTCCATGCATCTGGGTGCGCGTGACCCGATAATGCGGCCTCTGCGAATTCTGCCAGCCCTGCCTCTGCCCCTGACTCTGCCCGCCGTCATTCCCATGCTGGCCCGGCTGGGGTGGCGCGCGTTGCACCAGGTGTATGACTTTTCCATTGACATCTGAAAGGGGAAATCACGTCGCGTCAATGCGTGCCTGTCGCGCAGCCGTGCAGCTTATGTACTTCAAACGTAAGTAAGGTGTGTGTGCAAACATATATGTGTACCATAATCATTTAATTTCTTCTCGTCTTGAAGCACCCGTCCGCAATAAATCAACCTCTGCGAATCGGCCGGTACCGCGACGGACTCTGCTATGTGCTCTTTAAAGCCGCGTACCGTGATTTGCTTTAGGGCAGAGAGAATATCCAGAGATGCATTATATAATTAAACAAACAAGGAGAGATCCATGTGGGACGGTGGGCGCACGTCGGTTGTATACGTGTCTTAATTCAATGGTTTTTTCCAGCTGTTTCTAACGCACATCTACATACGCGTGCCGATCGGCGGCGAACCGCGGCGATCGACACGTGATCACGCGGGGGGAGCAGAGGATATCGGGGGAGGGGAGGGGGGAGGGGGGAGGCGGAAGAGCGAGGAGGGGCGACTTACGTCGTCTTCCAGGGCGAAGACGTGATTCTGCGAGTCCAAGGTCTTGACTGTTAGGTTGATCATCCTCGGTGGGGCGCGTGGCACGCGGGCTCTCGGGTGGAGAAACGCTCGGAGAGGCGTCCAAGGCTGGATGGCGGCGACGGCACGGGCGACGACGGCAGGATATCCGCGGAATACTCACGGATTCGCGCAAATATCTCGGCGGCCCCGTATACTCACGATCCGCTCCTCGGCAGCCTAACGTTCCTAGCCAACGGGGCGAGAAGTGGGATTGAAGGGGAATCGGAACGTGAAACGTTTTAATAGAAATCTCGATCGGGACTAAACGCTCGCCGATCCGCGTACTCCGCTCACTGCGCGCTCGCTCGCTCGCTCGCTCTCCCCACACACCACGTTCTCTCACGCTCGGCCCTCGTCTGTTGTCACGAATCACATAACGTCGCACAATGTCGCGCGATGATGAACGAGAGTGATGCAAGGAGAAGCGGACGGGGACGCGACATACGTTACCCAGAATGCCGCTTTATCAACGCGATGCGGCGAACGCTGACAAAAACATAACGACGATCATAGTCCCTAAAGCCGCCGCCGGCCGGATGAGCGTTTACCGTGCGCCGCGCACGACGCGGTTGCGTCGAGGATTCGCCGACAGGTGACGTAGCGATGTCTAAACTTGAATCGAATTCGCCGACGAGCGGAGAATCACCGTATTTACATTATCTTCGAATCCGCGCTTACGGGGATGAGCGAGTGGCGTCAAACGGTTTGAAATTTAATTTGCTTCTTTCATTTATCGTTCTTTGTTGGAGGATTTATAGGTATACATTTGACGTACGAGAAGAGGCTGTCTCAATGGCTTTACGTGGAAAGTTATTAGAGATAATCGATAGGCATATGTTAGCAATCTAAGAATTATATGAAATGAATGGTGAGAGAAACAAGAGAGAAAAATATCTATCCTCCGATAAGTTATGACTTTATTCTTTTAGAAGAAACGCAATATGTTAAGCGCAATAATCAGCTATTTACGAGCGCAGCGATTGCATTTCATAGTTGAGGATGGTGCCCGTATTATAGTTCGATGCGAGGGAAAGAGAGACCGTATAGGTTACCATAATTTTTTTAGAGAAAATAAATCTGAAAATTTTAGAATTTTATTCCTACATGTTTCCACAATTTGTATCTGTCAGGCGTCTGCGTATTACGAAATTTTCTTGTACAGTATATTAAAATAATACTGCGCAATTTTCTAATTTATTTTAAAACTGATTCGTTTGGAAGAAATATATGTGATTTAAATCTAAAATAAATTTAAAATAATTAATAATAAAAACGGATTTAATTTGAATAAGTTTAATAAAAAAATTAAAAAGTATATAATTAACAAAGGACAAAATAAACATTGCATTTATTAAGAGAGATTTCACCTTTGTCGGCCGTAAAATTAGTCCTTGTTTCATGAATTTTTTTGAGGAAATCTATTATATACAGTAAAACGCGGTTTTTGCATAAACTTATATATTATTTGAACAGCAAAAAAAATATTTTTTATTTATATAAAAAATATTTCTATTTTAGTACCTCCAAGTGGCGATTGAATGTAGCGTGTTTTTCGAGCTGACGGAAGTAATTACGAAAAAGTAATTAAGATATCGACTTGATTCTTTTTTCTTTTTTCAAATCCTCATTCTGATCCTAATACTTTAACGCATGGCGTGACCTAAAATCATGATTTTACAACAAACATTCAATTTAATAAATTATTAATAAAAATTATTAATAAAAATAAGTTATTAATAAAAATTTAAAAAATTTTTAGGGCAAAAAAATTTTTTTTTAAATGCTACCGTTTTTACAAATTTCAGGCAATAGACATCATTTTAATTCACGCCATGCGTTAAAGTATTAAGATCAAAAGGAAAAAAGAATCAAGTCGATATCTTAATTCGTTTTTTCGTAATTACTTCCGTCAGCTCGAAATCATGCCACATTCAATTGCCACTTGAAGGCATTAAAATACATTTCTATATAAATAAAGAATATTTTTTGCTGTTCAAATAATATGTAAGTTTATGCAAAAACCCGCGTTTAAAGCCCCATCTACATAAGTCGCAAATGCAAAACGCAAACGCAAACGCAGACGTTTCTCTCTTTCTTTTCTTTTATTTTTTGACGTTTCGTTCT